AAATAAAACATCAAAATACACCATATAAGAATGTATAAAAATAAGCAAAAAACACATTTAAACCACATTAGAAATAAAAACAATATAAAATTTATATAAAAATGTAAGTAAAAGCTACCCTAAAGAAATAAGTTTTAAGGTGAGATTTAAAAATGTTAAGAGAATTTGCCTGCCTTATTTCAGTAGGAAGAGAATTCCATAGTTTTGGAGCTAGAGAAGAAAAAGCCCTATCCCCCATCGATCTTAGGCGGGTAGACGGAACAATTAACAATCCAGTATCAGAAGAATGAAGGTTCCGCTTTGGGATATATGGAGTTAAAAGCTCTGACAGATATTGCGGTGTCAAACCATGCAGAGCCTTGTAAGTGAGCATCAGAATTTTCAAATCAACCCTAAACCTAACAGGAAGCCAATGCAAAGACTCCAAGATAGGAGTGACATGATCCCTTATCCTTGTTTTAGTTAGGATTCTGGCAGCAGAGTTTTGCACGACCTGTAATTTGTTTAGGGTAGCTTTTGAAACCCCGGCCAACAGAGCATTGTGATAGTCAATTCGAGAGAAAACAAAGGTGTTTATCAACTTCTCAGCAACAGGGAAAGACAACATTGGACGTAATCTGGCAATATTTCTAAGATGAAAGAAAGATGTTTTAACAGTATTCAGAACATGAGGCTCAAATGTTAAATTTGAATCAAATATTACCCCTAGATTTTTTTATTTTGTCCGAGATTCCATAATAGAATCATCAACAATTAAAGGGGTCCTATTATGCGTTTTCACTTTTTCAACTTTAGTTAGTCTGTAATGTTGCTGTTAGCTAACCAATCACAGCGCATTTCGTATTTCAGAAGGCGAGCCTTCATTTGATACAGGAACTATTCGAGCCGTTCATGCCAGACTGGGGAGAGAGGTGTTGTAATAATGTAAAATATGTGAAAAATAATGTGTTTTTCGAACAACCTAGTATAAGAGCCTGTTCTAGTACACCCCCAAAACAAAATCAAGACGACTTTGTAAAAGAGCATAAAAGGACCCCTTTAAAGAAACCGTTCCAGCTTTACGCAACTGGTGGGGTGAACCAATGAGCATAATCTCAGTCTTTTCACTTTTGAGACAAAGAAAATTTTGCGACATCCATTCCTTTATCCTAGAAATACATTGAGAAAGAAAATCCACAGGCACAGTATCATCAGGTTTTGTGTATATATAAATTTGAGTGTCATCCGCATAGAAATGAAATTTTAGACCAAGAGATCTTAAAAGTTGACCAAGTGGGAAAATGTAGATATTAAAAAGGGGAACAAAATTGATCCTTGAGGGACTCCAGATTTCACGACACCAACCTCTGACCTAAATCCACCCATTGTAACAAACTGCTTACGATCTGTGAGGTAGGACCTAAACCACTTTAGTATAGTATCAGAGACCCCAAAAACAGTTTCTAAAAGAGTAATTAAAAGAGAATGATCTACAGTGTCAAAAGTGGCACTGAGATCAAACAGGACCAGAATTGAAAGACAGCCCGAATCTGAGGCAATTAGCAGATCATTTGTGACCTTAACCAATGCTGTTTCAACACTATGGAATTTACGGAAGCCAGACTGCAAAGGCTCAAATAGATTGTTTTCAGTTAAATGAGAAATTAGCAACAATTCACTCCAAAATTTTAGCAAGAAAAGGGAGATTGGAAATGGCACGAAAATTGTTTAGGTTTTCATAATCAATGTTTGCATGTGAATCATCATCTCATGACTAAGTGCAGACGCGATGTAAATAAGATATTCATTGTGCAGTTTAGAGAGCTTCATTGATTATAACGGAACTTTGTAAGATCGCGATGAAGATGAGTGACGCTTTTTAGTGATAAAGGGAGTGCGCTTTGCGCACTTTCTAGGGTATAATCCATTCAGAATTTGTATGAAACTTTAGTTTTTCGGACACATAGGCTACACCCTGCAAAGTTTCGGGAATGACATCCACATATTTCTGCGGGATTCACTCTCGAAATAGCAGTGATTGGCAATGGACGGAAAATAAAATATGTTGATTTAATTCTGGAATCGGTCCTGGCCAAACCTCCACAGACAGCACGCGAGCGAGATCTAATTCACGGACCAAAAGAGTGTGTAAACTTTATTGAGATCGGGACATATCAATCAGTAATTACATTTCATTTCCAGTAACGGTCGGTAGAAAGTTCAGCAATGAATGGTATGCGATTTATGACAGAATATATTCCCACAACTGATCGTTTATTTTTTCCTCACATCTCTCGCCTGTGGTAACGACGATTCAAAATGGAAACATTTCAAGTGACATGGGAAAAAGACACGGAAAACTTCAGTGAACATCAGAAAAGCAGCGTGCACATTTCTGGTTAAAAATCAAAGGCCATCAACTGACAAATGGGAAGCATCACATTCAAATCAGCAGAAAGAGCCAAAGCTATTCCACAGTTTACTAAACGGTGGCAACCTCTTTAAATTATTCTTGACTGTGTTGGATTGACTGCTTTGATGCGTTGCAATAAGGTAGGGCATTGTTTTGATGTTTACATCCGAAAAAAAATTATTTTGTTTTTATTTATTTCATTTATATATTTGATGCATTGCAATATGGTAGGGCATTGTTTTGATGCTCACACCAGAAAAAAAAATATATATTTTGTTTTTATTTATTTCATTTATATATATATATTTTTTTTATTGCCCCCCCTAACTCAAGAGTAAAATGTCGCCCATGCTAGTGGGTATGGGATCAAGTAAGGAAGTGGCTGCTTTCAATTGAGAAACCTCCTTTTGAAGGGAGTATGAGTCAAGTGTGCAAAAATTTTAAAAAGTAATACCAGTATAAAATGGAGTATTTACCGAAGAAGAGCACAATAGGGTAGAGGTACAGACACAGTTACGTACATTATCAATCTTGGTGCCAAAAAAAATAAAGAAACTTATTACAAAGATGGGTTGAAGCAATATCAGGCTAAAGATTACAATTCAACAATTTGTTAATGGAATTAAACAATTGTCTCGGTTTGTTTTGATTATTGTGTATTATCTTAGAAAAATAATCAGATCTGGCAGAAACAATTCCAGCCTTATACTCATGTAAACAATCCTTCCATGCCTGATAATGAACAGTCAGACCAGAGAGACGCCACATACGCTCCATCTTACGACAGGATGTCTTTATTGCACACAAACCTTCATTATACCAAGGAGCAGGTGGCACAAAAGAAACAGAGCGTGATATTTGAGAAGCAAATGAGTCAATGCCAGACAGGAGAACAGAATGATTTGTAAACTAACACATTTAATGTTTGCATCACATTACCAGCTCCACATGTATGGCTTTTCTGACATAGTAAACTTGCTCAGGAGCTGACCTGGTACAACAAATTTGGGTGCAAGTCCTGTGAAACCGGAGTCATGATAAAAAATAAAAAAAAACTTATAGACTTGTAGACACAAGACAGAATGGGGTGGTTGTCTCAGCATGTGTTTATGTTTCATGTTTGCTTTTGTTACCACTATCAGTTAGGTTTAGGGTAGGATTTAGTGTACGTTATTTTCAAACATAATAAAGCATGAACCTTTTAGCACCATTCTTTGGAAATTTTATTTTCTAATTGCTGTAATATGTAGAACAACCAATGGGTCACATTCATCATGATCTGTTTCGGATAAAACTGAAAACACTTTTAGCACCACTCACTGGACATTCCACCTTGAATGTTTTGCAAGAAACAATGTAATATCATTCATACAACTCATTGGCCACCTATATTGCCAAGACATAATACTTGTCCTTCCCATTCATACAACTGTAATCCTTTCAAAATGATATATACATACCTATATACACATGTATCTTAAAGCAACGATTAGTCGACATCTAATATTTAGCTGCATTAAATACAAAGTACAGCAAAGATATAACGTGCTGTGCTTTTCTACATGTTGTTTTACAGACAAACCTGACTCTGAATAATTTACAGCAGCAAGGCCTTGACATCCACAGGATCCAATTAGTTGAAATCCACATGTAATCAGTCCACAGGAAAAAGGCACAACAGGGACATCTCCAGAGAGACGAGACACTATTAGCAAGTTTCTAAAATACAGAGGGGTGCACTGCGTAAAGAGAAGAGCTAATGCATCGCTGCTTTGACAGAACATGGAATCCTTGAAATCAGATCAGTGAACAAAGAATGTGATACTCCTATACAAATACCTCAGTTACTCAAACAAACCTGTGATAAGGTTCTACTGACTTAGCAACAGCTGTGCTTTAAATAGCAACAGCTATTAGATAGTGTGTGATGGTGCAGTTTAATGTTATATATAGCACTATGGTGTAGTACTGTATAGCATATAATCTGGTAGGACATTTGTTTGCGGTCTTGTAAAATGTAATTTTTAAGTAATCAGTTTAAGTGCCCTCAAAAATAAATAAAAGTGTCTGATGGCGAAATGCAAAACCCAGACGAGCTGAATGTTTGTCTTTGCTGAAGTTTAAACTTTCCATAAATCAAGTGAAGAACTGCACAGCTTGTTAATGTTTTCCTTCAAACCAAAGGCTGTAACTACAACTGACTTTCTTCTGCTGAAAACAAAAGATCATTTGAAGAATGTTTCAGCTGTTTTTGTGCAGACAATGAAAGTCGATAGGGTCCAATGTTGTTTTATGGATAAAAATAACAGCTACAATTTTTTGAATTATCTTCTTGTGTGTTCAGGTTTAGATGAACACAAGAGTGTGTAAATTGTGTTAGAACTTTCATTTTTGGGTGAATTATCGCTTTAAGAATAAACTATTTAAAAAAAAAACTATATCATTGATCACTAATCTCATCTTTGATCACATCTCTTTCATCTTTATTTGACCCTCTAACTCTAGCACTCTCTATTCTAATTCTATTCTTAAAAAAAAAACACTTGTCCCTTTTAGACTTGCACTCTATTCATTTGCTGCTTGTTTTCTTTATTAAAAAAAAAACTAACACTAGCTTTCTAATATTTTGTATTCTATCTGTTTTCTTTTCATTTATTATACAAATAACAAAAGCAAAAAAGACCTCTACAGCCCTCTACGAACACCTTGGCAACTGAATCGCCATTGGCTAGTAAATTTTTTTGTTTACTCGCCAGACTGATAAATATATACTGTTCGGCGAGTGAAAATATATCTGAGCTAAACTTATACTTAGCCTCCAACTCACACACTGGCGAGTAAAATCTGAGAATTTATTAGCCAGTGGCTAATATTAGACATCATTTAGTCGCCCAGAGTAAGATTTAGTCGCATATGCGAGTGATTTACTCGCAATGTAGAGGGTTGCCTCTAACACTAGCTTGCTCTATTCTTTTTCTATTCTATCTGTTTTCTTTTTATTTATTATATTATTTTAAACAACCCATGCTACGTGTACTGCGTTAAGCTAACTGAGACTTGTTATAGCACTTTTATATCATTGCTCTTTTGTTGATTTTGATTGCTTCCATTGTCCTTATTTGTAAGTCGCTGTGGACGCATAAATGACTAAATGTAATGTAATGTAATCTAAACATTGCGTTCAGTTGTGGTTGTTACAGCCCTGTCACTAATAATGACGCATATGAGAGTAAACAACAAAAACTAAACTATCAAGTTAAGTTTACATAGCAGAACCTGTCCTAGATGTTTTACAAAATGAATCCAAGCCAGAAACACAATATAAACTTCTTATGTGAAACTGTGATTAAAATACCCTGTACCTTTATCTGTCAGATTGGCTTTGCGTTGGTTTGCATTACAAACTCAAGAGAAAAAGAGCCGTTTCAGTTCTGTCTAAGGGTGGAGTTGCCCCAACTGTTTGTGTGGTTTCCAGCCAATGGCAACAATGGCTTGTTTCTATAATCTCAAATGGAACATTTGTTAGACATTGTGTGATTATGCACTACCGAATAAAGTATCATAAAGGGCTTTGGTCTGGTTCTTATAGTAGTATAATCAGGTTTGTGGTTTGGAGAAGTATTATGTTCTAATTGTATAACATGATCTGGTTTAACCAGGTTTGGTTTGGTTTGGTCTAGTCTAATTTGGCCTGGTATCATATGATCAGTCTTTCAGCATTGCTATAGTCTGGAAAGGTCAGGTCTTAGTTTAATATGTTTGGTTATGCTGCAATGAGGTAAAGCCACAAAACGGGGCAGTTCACCCAAAAAGAAGAATTATACCAATTACATGTTCAAAAGTTTACAGTCATTAAGAGGTTTGAAAAAAATACAGCAAAATTGTGAAATACCATTACAATTTAAAAGAACCGTTTTCTATTTGAATATATATTTGTCATTTATCCCTGTGATGTCACATGATTCTTCAGAAATCATTCTAATTTGCTGATTTGCTGCTCAAGAATAATTTTTTATTGTTGAAAACAGTTGTGCTGCTTAATATTTTTGTGGACATTTTTTTCAGATTTGTTTGATGAATAGAAAGTAAAGCATTTATCTGAAATAAAAATATTTTGTAACACGTCCTTACTGTAGGGTGACCATACGGGCCATTTTTACGGGTCGCACCCTTGCCAGGATTTCTATATTGCCTAAAATATCCAGGTTTTGGCTGTTAGCACTGTGCAGATCGATCGTTGTATGACATTATTTCACGAGAGCTATAGAGAGCAGAGCAGACGGCTCCTTATGCTTTTAAATCGCTCTCGAGGTACTTGGTGTCATACAACGATCGGTGCGCAGCTTCAAGTCGAACGGACGGATGAACAAACATGTGCGTGTATTTGCATCGCTTTGATCGTTCTCACCTTCTCACGATTGGTCGATTATGTACAATACCTGCATGTTATTGGTCAAAATACTTTGGATGTTTTAGGCAATATAAAAATCATGGCCAGGACGTGTCCCGTATAAATGGCACATATGGCCACCATACCTTACCTGTCACTTTTGATCAATTTAACGCATCATTGCTTAATAAAAATGGTAATTTCTTTAAAAACTAGAAGAAAATAAATCTTACTGACTGTAAACTTGTCATTTACTCAACATCACTTTGTCCAAAATCATATGAATTTCTATCTTCCAACACAAAAAATGAATTTATGAAGAAAATCTGGGCTGGTCTTTTCCATATTATGACAGTGAATAACGACTGGAGCCATCAAAGTCTTAAAACACACAAAAAAAATCACCATAAAATCATACAGAGAAGGATTTTCAGTTAATACGACAATATATATAGTTTATGAATTTCTTTTATGTTGCTTTTTTGTCATTTTGGAGCTTTGCAGCTGCAGTCCCCATTTACATTCATTACATGGGGAAAAACAGTGAATAAATACTATTTTGGAGTAATCTATCCCTTTAAAAGGACAAAGGCAGTGGCAATGGTTCAGAAAAACTTTGCTAACTATATGCTGGACATGATGGCAGTGAGGTCATGGTCAAACACAGGGATGTGTGCAGCATACAGTACCAACCTGTTCCTGTTGGAACATTGGACAGGAAGATACACACTGCCATCACTTGTTGTGCTCTCTAGTGCCAAAGCTGTGCCCTGCTTAGCTCTCTCTGTCCACTGCTGCCAGCTCACCCATGTGCCAAGCCCTCCACTAGACACAGGGCATTATGCACACCCAACACAGCTGATACACACACAAATTCTGGACACAATCATTCCAAAACAGTTTTTATGCTCAAAACACATCTGTTCGCATTACCACGAGCAATTTACAGTAATGACATCACCAGCCTGTTTTTGCACTATACTGGGTGATGCTGATTAGGCAGCATTACTCATTTAAAAGATAAGGGATCTGCCATTATTTGAATAACTTCTAGTCAAGACAGATAGTTTTTGTTTGTGTACATATAAAACAACACACAGGCATATTAGGACATGTATTCTCAACTAAACACTCTGGAAAAACGAGTACAGTTAGTTTACCTTACTATACCAGTTGAGGCGTAATGCCTCAAAACAGAATTACTCTAATACGAAGCGGAATGACATTTGTAATTACACTGAACAAAATTATAAACGCAACACTTTTGTTTTTGCCCCCATTTTTCATGAACTGAACTCAAAGATCTAAGACTTTTTCTATGTACACAAAAGGCCTATTTCTCTCAAATATTGTTCACAAATCTGTCTAAATCTGTGTTAGTGAGCACTTCTCCTTTGCCGAGATAATCCATCCATCAGTGTATAAACAAACAAGCACACAAACATACAAATAAATAAAATAATACATTTTATAATTTATAATTACATTAGGTCTATTTATAATTTATCAATAAATAAAATAAAATGTATTAATTATATTTCCATATTGTTTATACTACATACGTAAATTGTACACTTCAATATAATTAAAGTACTCATGTGATTGCATTTTATATTAAAATATCAAACCAGGCAGCAAACAAATGACTGAGAATTAACTTTTAACTTAACCAATTAAACAATCTGAACATGTCCAAATAATTATTTAATGAAATGTTCAGCTTGAAAAGTGCTTTCTTTAATAATGGCACTTGGTTTAATATTTTGTTATATAATGCAATGACATTCATACATTTTAAATTGTGGCATAAGTGTCCAAAGACTTTCTGGAGCAACTGTATGCAACTTACTCTGTATTTACTATAAAACACGGACCATTTACTGCCTAATCAAAAACATACAAAAATCACAAATAGGTATATAATCAAATAAATATCAACCAATTTAAGAAGACATCTGTTCACTCTTAACCTGGACGTCTTAACTCAGCAAATTAAACTCTTCATGCGGAGTCTCTCCTCCCCCTCAGCTGCACTTAATCCCAGTGATTAAATCATTTTTCTTCAGCCCTAATTTTGCTCTGATGGAGGATGGGCGTGCTCTTTATTGATTGGTGGGTTGAGCAGATTACCCTAATAGCAGGATTACCACCCACATGTTGACCACGCGTGTTGGAGCTGCTGGGCCGTGGTGCCAGCTCCCTATCAGATGGCCAGGGGGAGCAATGAAGACATAACACACCACTTAATAAGAGCATGTGTCTGTTCGTCTGTCTAGAGGGTGCGCATTAACAAGTATTTGGAAACTCATCAAGTTCTTTTATTTGCAAACTCATTAGTCATCTCAGCTGTGTTGTCAGTTAAGATGTAGTAAAAATATGCCATAATTATCACATGTTTAGCTGCCTTAGCACAATTTGACAACTTGAACATGACAGGTTCTATGACAACTGGTGTAAATGTCATTTTTAATCTAATGCTATGTTAGCAATACTAACATGTAATGTAACATGTAAATGTTCTTCATGTGGAAATTGTTGTTGTTCAAATGAAGAATATGATTTATTATAACTGAATCAAACTGACAACATTATGCCAATAATAAAAGTAGTTTAATGTAGAAATAGCGTCTTAAAGGGACAGTTCACCCAAAAATGAAAATGTATTCACCGTTATGCCATTCCAAGACTGTATGACATGAAGGCAACGTTCAATCAAAATTTATAATTCTGTCATCATTTACTCACTCTCATGTCATTCCAAACACGCCTGCATTTCTTTCTTCTATGAAACATAATAGAAGATGTTTTGAAGAGTGTTGGTAACCAAATAATTTTCGGGCCCCATTGACTTATTTGACATGTTTTTGTCCATACTATGGAAATTAATGGGTCCCAAAACCACCTGATTATCATAATTTTTCAAAATACATTCTTTTGTACTCCACAGAAGAAAGAAAGCCAAACAGGTTTGGAACATCACGATAAAGAGTAACTGATGACAGAATTTTTATTTTTGAATGGACTATCACTTTAAATAAGTTATTTATTGAAGAATATCCAAGCTGATATTTTCCATACAATGAAAGGGAATGGTGACCATCATTCTCATGAACTGTTTTTAGTGAAAATTGACTTAAATTTCAGTTTTTCCATCATTCAAAGCATAACATATGGTTTTAGAATATAGTGCACGAGTCATGTGTCTACTTTTACGATGCTTTTCTAGTACTTTTTTGTCTTTTTGGGAGCTTGACAACCTCAGTCTCCATTTACTTTCATTGTGGAAAAGAGAAGCTCAGACATTCTGCCTGTTTTCTACAGGAAAAAAAGACATGGATTTTAAATGACATGAAGGTAACAAACGTTAATTTTTGTGTAAATTATCCCTTTAAGGGAACAACTGCACATTTTCATTTTACTCGCTCTCTGTAATTCAAACCAAAGGTGGATTAAGACCACAATGGAGAGAATTCAGGAAATGTATGGATATTTCCTTTCAGAAGTATTGCTCCCGAGGATAAATGGCAATTGACTTTGTATCTCAAATTGAACTCTGTGTGTATGTCCTTGAAGCCATTTTCCTGATTATGATTCTATTAGACTGAATATACAACAGTCAACTGTTTATCAAACAGACAGTTATTCAAATTAATCCACAACAGGTAAAACTGCACTTCAGTTGATGATATATGCATGACCAAATCCTCCTGCCCTCTCTCTCATCTACTTCTGTACGTGTATGTTTGATTTAATGAGCAATGAGAGGTAATGATGCAGCAATGAGACATGTTTTTTTGTGACATGCTATAATACACATTATGCATACTGTAGCAATAAAGTCAACTCATAAAATATATTTCCCCTACTATGAATGTTTTAATAATCAACAGAACGTATCATAAAACATTACTGCACACACTTCACCAAAAGGATTTTACATTTGCGACGCCCGTTATTACGTCTTTTGAATCCAAATGACACTAATGGCTAAGCAGCCTCAAATTGCTTCAGTATAACAATGGCATTAAAATATTAAAGTTGCAAATGTAAGCTTTTCTCATGTGTCCAGATGGGGGAACTAGAAGCTTATTCAGGCCACGGAAAAAGAATTCCAGTAATCTACTGCTGATCCTTCACAATGCCACCCTTGTGTCTTTTGTTTTAGCCTCCCCACTGCGTGTACTCAAAGCCACTGATAATGTTAATGGTCCCTTCCTCCAGCCAGTGGATCTTGAGCTATTAGGGGTTGCGAGAGGACTGAAAACACTTGTTAAATCATACAGTAGTTGGATGCTGAGGGGACGAACAGGGTCAGCTTCGCAAGGTCAACACAAGTTCAAGCCATAAACCTCAAACAAAGTGAAAATAGTCTGGCGACAAATGGATGTCAAATTAAGACCAGATACTTGTGCAGTGTTATTTAATCTTTTGGATATGTTTGAAAAGATGTATAAAAAAAAACATGCTGTGTATTCTAGGTAGATACTCTTGTAAATATTGGTTCCAAAAGGGGGGTTCTGAAGCAATGCGATAGAAGAACCATTTTTAGTTCTTCATGGAACCATCAATGCCAATAAAAAGCCTTTATTTTTTAGAGCAAACGCAGGTATTTTAAATAAACAGCTTGGGTTCCAATTCGACCATCACTCTTTTAAACTTCTTTACATTTTTAAAAAGGCTCTTCATTCCATTCTCATTCAAAGGGATTGCACCAAGTCTTGAAATCCGAAAATCCCACATCTTTCGACATTTAAACGGTTGAACCCAAGCCCCCTGACCCTTTTCAGATGAAGAACAAAACAAGCACAGAACATCTTATCACTTTTCCTTACATCTCAGAACAGTCACGGCTAGGATTTCATAGGTTGCTTAGGTCTCTTCACAACTCAAACAAGCAGTACAACACCCACTCCCTCATTCCCGAATGAACGTGCTGGAGTTTGTTTGATTTGCACTGTCAAAAGGTGTGTACTGCGTGAACCGAAGCTGTGTAAACAACTTGCTTCATTGAGGCTGAGCACAGTAACCAGCTGCACATAAAAGGGAAGTGACTTTAGCAAAAGGCCAATGCAAATATCTCCCACCGCTGCTGCAAGGTAAGGTTTTTGTCTATCAGCACAGAACACAAGAATAACTGTAGTGTACAGTGTCATTTTTTTAACCCATGGCAGCCTCTTGACAACCAATAAATTAGTAAACACAGTAAAGTATGCAACTTGGGACTTTGAGAAGTTAATTATTTTCACATATCAACACAAACTTTTTTTAGAAAAGACATGCAGTTTGTTCCTTTAGAGTTAAACTACATGTGCACGCTGTGAAAAATATGGGATTAAAGGAATTAATTTTCAAATTAAACACCATTTTAGGTCCCCTGACAAAACAACTCCACAAATATACTCCACTTCTATCTACATGAAACCTACTATAACAATTGCAGTGCCAAAAAAGAATACACTCCTACACCCAAAAGAAAGCACAAAAGTAACCCGTTCATTTTAGTCAGAAACAGACCCTTCATCACAAAGCAAAGGGGTATTAACTAGTGTGCTGACGCCATCCCAGCAGCAGCCCCCCAACAGCCCTTATGCCAGCAAATTCACCTAATAACACAACAAGAGAGCCCTGCATATGCCTGTTGTGTCATTTACCACAAAACCTCCCTCAGCTTATTTGACTGGTACATGAACTTTCAACTTCACATGAGCAGATGTTCCTTGGCACCATGACAGTTGTGATAATGATAATGCACACACATAGCACCCTCCTCCCCTTCATTCTCCTCATTATCATTATCAAACAGCACTAAAACCAGTTTAACAGTTTTTATCCAAGCTAATGAGCACAATAAATAAGTAACCTTCCTTATATGTAAATAAGCATGCAAACTTAACACAGTAGGAGCTAGTAGCAATTAAACACTTTAATAGCTGCTTTAAGATTATAACCAGTTTCTGAATTTTAGATGTTTGTAAACGGGACATAGTTGTTTACTTATCAACGTTTATTACAGAATCAAATACTGTATAATCAAAACATATGACACAATACTTAGTTTGATTACGTTTTAGCTGTAAAATGCCTTACCATATGTTTTTATTAATCAAGTGTCCTCATGTGGAAGATCAGTCATGCACATACTTTAGGAAGCACGAACATCCTCTGCTGCTTTTCAAATGCTTCATTCACATATTCCTTATCTCCGCATAGGTAAGATCCCAATTCAACAGGACCGTTATCCAAAAATTCCCTGTAAATCGCAGTCCGTCGTCCTCTAAAGGCTTTGAGCCTTGATAATGGTAAGCTAAATGCGAACTGACAAGCATCCGACAAGCTTTCAGGGAGAGGGGAGGAAAAAAAACACTGAACAAAACTAAAAAAGTAAAGCACCAAAGCCCCGCCCTAGACTGTAATAGCTCTCAAAGTAACACTGGTTTTAGATTTAAGACAATTCATTCCGATGCCATTGATCGCTATTGTGTATTGTAATACACAATAGCCCCCCCAAAAAAACGTTAAAATGTCTAATAATAGATCATGTTTAAAGTAATCATGTCGAAAAAAAATCAATAGGATGATGGAAGCTAGCTGATAACCTAATTTAATTCTAATTGCATGGCGTGTTTTTTCCATCTAAAATAATTGGTTTTCAGTGATGGATCATGTGTTGCACTGCATCAACAAGTTTATTATTTAAATTTACAGCTGTTTCCCTGAGTCTGGATGAGTTTTGGGTTTATAGTTACAATCAGAACAAAAATTCATTTGTAGGCTACACGATATAAAATGTTAAGTTAACAAGAGTAAAGAGTGAATAAAATATTGATGGTCGTTATTTGTCGATTGTAGCTCTAGATGTTAAGCACACATTCAAGTAAATAGCCTAAATTTGCTAATAGTTATGTTAAAACAGCCTACACGACACCTCCGCATGCCAGCTCAAAAGCTTTACATTTCTGAATTCCCACAAATAGAGTTGGAAAACGAGAAACGGTTCTTACGAATAGGCGCCATTTAACCAATACCGAACCGAATGATTTTCACGACATTGGATTCTTGGACGTGTATTCTCGGAACACAGCTGTTCTGATTGTTTTAAGTGTTGTTTATACCAACATTGCTACTGAATGTACAGCGCGAAACAAACAGCAGCCAGCACAGTCCGAATCCCGAATGAATGATTCTCTTATTAGCCGGTTCTTTATAATGAATCAAAAACATACTGTATAACGCAACCACTGTAGCTCGAATGCCGAGCGAACGACTCTTTAATGAGCCGGTTCTTTATAGCGACACAAAATCATACAGCATAACCGGTGTACTACGATTTCCAAACAAATGACTCTTAAGAGTCGGTTCTTTTTAGTGAATCAAAAGCACTTTAATTTGTCTCGTTTTACTAAAACCACAAACACTTGCTGCGGCGATCATAGTATTTTATATAGGCTAGGTCTAGGCTAAATAAATTAAAAATAAATTGTTACCCCAGTTTTGTTTGTTTTATATTTTATGTAAGACACAGTGGATTTCCACCTCTTAAAAGTCTGTGAAAACTCATTAAAAGTCTATGTAAGCACACCCTTTGCCAGAAATGTGTTGACTTTATTTCTGATTTGTTATAGGCTAGCCCTATGTTATGTAGAAATCTGAAATGATTTCCTCGATCTCATCAGCAACAAACTGAGTGCAGTAGCCTACAACAAGAAATTCTTGATTCCAAACATTTCTTCCTCAAAAGTTACTCGTTAATGGAATTATGCAATGGTCGGGAGGAATCGGAATCAATCAATTCCTTCCGATTTCCATCTCTATACAGATGGTTCGATGGTTAAAGCTCTTCAGAAAAGAAACTTCCTAAAAATAGCGCATGGACAAACAGAATGGGTTATGGCAGAGGTTATGTGTGAGTGCGACACGACAGGCTTTATGTAGGCTACTGCTGTCTACACTAAAGAAAGCAATCATTCAGTGTGCGACTATCGTTTAAAGTGAGTTGCCAATAGATTGATCTCTAATCTTAATCTAATCTAAATTAGACCAGCGCTGAAACAATGCCTATTCACATCACGACAGCAAACCCGAGCGCAATCTCCCTTCAAAGTAGCTAACTATTATTAGCACAACAGATTAAGCGACCCTACTGTTTATTATGGATTCTTTCTCAGAATTCGATTCGAAACTTACCTCGGTACATAAAAATGACGTAATGAAGTTGTGGAGCAACGGCACAAACGCAAGGTGACACTCCGCGAGGATGACAAACTGAGTGGCATCCGCAGTTTCCAAATGACTTCAGCGTTTAAATCGCATATCAAAGCGACCAGACCGCCTAGGTTTGTAGATCGAGGAAACAATGTGATGACATCGAGCGACGGTGATCCAGATCGAGACGGATAGACAGCGAAGTGGCCCGTGTGTTTGGTGCGACACCTGGAGCGGCAATGGTTCCTCCCTCTTTCATTGACTATTGTTTGTTCAGCATAAAGTTGGGTGATGCAGAAGTCTGGTGTTGAGAGTGTTTGGAATGCTACAATCTCTGTCTACTGGCATATAACCTGATAATGTATGATGATTGCCAGTTAAGGATTATAATTTAATGATTTGAGAACAGATAAACATATTCTATATATGGGTCAAGGACGAGATGCTAATTTTTTATTTTTTCTGAATCTATTAGGTTATTAAAAATATTTTATTTTACTAAGTAAATAAACAAACAAAGAAATACACAATTGAATTAAGTGATTTAAGTCACAATAGCTATGTTTTATGTAGCTAGTGTAACTGGAGAGAGTTTTTAAAAAATCGAATTAATTAAAAGCCTAATCAATATTATTTATTATTAGCCTGTTTCTGAACCTGTTTTGTTTTGGAGTATGAATTGGCAAATCAAAGTGTCTCGACCAACTTGCTGGAAGCCATTTTCTTGTCATGTGACCTCTTTAGACCATCATGACCACCACCATTATTATTTTTATAATAATTTATTTTTTATTTTTTTTATTTTACCTTTTAACAAAGAAGCACATTTTGTGCAGGTCAAGTTGAGTAAAAATGATGATTCAGTCATGTTCAATTGTGTACTCAAGGTGCAAAGAATAAATTTAGTTACTTGACATTTCCATGTTTTGTTTGTTTGTTTTTGTAGAAAATGCTCTAAAATGCCCCTTTTGTGAAACTGACATAAATACATCACGTTTCTAATAACTTGTGGTTTAAACTGGGTTTATCATCACCGATATTATTTGTCATTGACACATTTATCTTAAAATTTAAAACTGCATTATTGGCACATGATGAATATACATGCATGCTATTGAAGATTTCATATAGGAGTTGCATTTAATGGTATTAATTTTATTGTTATTTTTATTTAAAATGTAATAATATATTAAACACACACACACACACACATTATACTGTATGTATGTTATGTTTATATTAAATATATTTAGATATAAAATAAGTTATATTAATATAAATATATACATTTAAATACATGCAAATATTTTCTAAATATATACTGTATGTGTGTATCTTTATATATACATAATAAATATACACAGCACACACACATATATTATGTTCACAAAAACTTTTATTTAATCATGATTAATCCTTGCCCAGCACTAGTATATATATATCTCACACCTTTACTTTAATTAACTGATTTAATTGTTCTTTTCATCGAGCAGCTGCTTTAAATGCTTTTTTTATTCACCACACTTGCCCTTTAAAAACAGTGCAATCTAAAGTCAGTAGTCAAACATAATCACCATTGTGTAATTTCAGTCCTTCATTACATAACTTTCAGGCCTGCCATGCAGAAGTGGATATTGCAGTAGCTGTTTGGCTGGAGCTGTTGCAGGACACCTATGTGAAGAGGGGTCATTAGCGGCTCTCACCAGAGGCTGTGACAGCTGTCGCTTGTGGCTGCCGCTGGGCCCCAGTGCCTCCCCCTCGCACGCTCACAATGCTCCAGTATGAACAGTAGGTCTGAAAAGACATGCAACCTGACCCCCTCATCTCCATTTACCCATCTCATATTTAATCCCAGACTCGCCCCGTCATTAACCACCAGCCACACTACCTCTGGCCCACAGCTTTGATCATTAATCAACGCATTCGCACAATTATCGAACGGCACAGCTGCCAGCCTAACAAAGCGTGTTTTTAAACTTTTCTCTCACATTTTCTATAATAATTTGTATACATCTTTCATCCTTTCTAATCATCTTATGAGTATGCTTGACACTTAGTGTGGTAAAATTAGGCCTGGTTTGTGGTATCAGGGACTGCCACCCTTTTAAGGGCTTGTTTTTGAGATGGAAGTCCATGAGCGAGAGTCGATGGATTTTTTGGTTGTGGGGGAAGGGCACCTCTGAACTCTTTCACCCCTCGATTCCTCTCAGGCACACACAAAACCTCACACACAGGAGTCTGGACACAAGGGGAAAGGATGAGTATAAATTATCACATGTGAAAAACAAAGCGCTGTGGCGTGAGTGGAATATTTTAACAGAAGCACAAACAGCGGGGTTACAGTTGGGCCTGAGTATGTTTAAAAGATGTTTAAAATCATTTACATTAAGTCTGTCTGCGACCTATTGTGTTTTATCCCGAGTGTATTTGCATTGCAGACACGCTTTGCCCTCACAAAGAACACCTTCTTCTCATTTCTTTTCTTGCGGCGTTTGCATTCTGCTCCAGAAAGTCTTCGCATTCTGCTCTGCACTACAGATCCTTATGCATCCTAGTTATGGAACATGTGAAACGATCTGAAAGAAGCAACCTGTTGTTTTCCACCGCAGTGCAGAGCGGAACAACTTTGACTCTGATAGTTAGTTTGAAGAGTGGGGGAGGATGCATGTGAATATTCTTCCAGCAGGTCAGAGTTCACGGGCTCCATCGAGAAGTGCAGAATGCTTTTCCTGTTCATCTCCAACTGTGCCGTTTATAGAGACAACAGAATAACAAGCTCGATTGACTCATTTCTAACTTGAAGTGAGCCTTTGCA